GAATTTTTATCAGACCTTCAATGTATAAACGTATGATTCCTTTTACACTAGCTATGGCTAGTGTATAATAATGACATTCAGCTTACACGTGTATGATATGTATTCAGTTTGTTCACACTACGAATATTACATTCAGCTTTCACACATGTATGGTATATATTCAGCTTGTTTATACTACGGACATGCCATTTAGCTTACACATGTATGATATATACTTAACTTGTCATTACATCAAAAGTACTACGTAATGACATGATTATATAGTTATATTCAGCTTGCCATTATTTCGAGATTATTCAGTAATGATATGATTATACAATCATGCCTTAAGCTTGCCATTACTTTGAGACTACTCAGTAATAACATAATTATATTATCTAACTTACACTAGCTACGACTAGTGTATGATATATTGATATTGTATGATATGTCATCGAAACTAGTATAAGTGAGGATATTGGTCGTTGAGGCATCTTTCCAAAGCTATGACACATTATTACCCTGGTAGTTTGCCTATTCAGCTTTATTAACAGAACTTGTATTTTGGCAAATGTGCTCTGAACATATTATCAGGCATGTAATAGAGGGTCAGAGACCTATTAGGTGTGGCCCTTCGGGGAAGTGGTACTTACAGGTGTTGCAATTTGGGCCAATCTTTATTTTAGAGGAAGTTGTGCCAAATTTTTAGTAGATTTATATAGATGACAACTTTAGTTATGTTTTCATGAATGTCATGACTTCGTCACATATTCGAGTGATGGTTAACACACCTCTGTTTCAGTGATATTTGGGTCGGAGTGTTCAGTGCGTTTAGTAGTCTCTCTTTTAAGAGAGTTTTAGTTTTGTTTTTCATTAGGGAATTGTTATTAGCATTCCAAATTTCTCATTCTACACTCCAAACTTTCTATATTTAGAAAGAAAAATACACTTATGAGAAGTGTAGAATAAAATTTTTGGAGTGCCAATAACACTTCATTTTCAATATGGATATGTCTACTTTATGATATTATGAGGTCAAACCCTAAAAATTCCTCATGTGCTTTAAAAGTGAGAAATATCAAACCTCATTATCTATCATATTTTAACATATAAAACGGATTATACCACGTAACATTTAATTACCACATAATAATTTTTCCAAAGAAATTAGATCGCAGCCAATAATTCATTTTTGAATAATAAAAAGTCGACAATGCAGTTAATTAATTAAACACCTTAATTATCATTCATCATCATAATTGCTTCTTTGGTGGCCATAGCCTGTCGACAAATATGGTGCCACAGTAATATAACCCCCCACTGCGTAGTGCTAAGAGATTTTATTATCTTAATTACCCTCCAATTATCTAATTATCTACAACAGGAGAAAATACACTAACTTTGGTAGGCCAAAATCGCCTATAAAAATGACACCTTGGAGCATCGATACTGTCATTGCCCACTTCAGAAATTACTCTCTTATAGCAAAACTTGCTGGGTATCTTCCACAAACCCTAATTATTCATATGTTTGTTTGTTATTTTTCTGAATTTTGTTTGCTTGGTTGTTGATTCATGTCTTGTTAATTAATAACACTTTGATTAAGTAGCTAGTCAATTACTTAATTACTTGCACTACTTACATGTACCTGTTCGTAATTTTAGTTTCAGAGTTGAATTAGTTTAACATCCATGAGGACCTTGCTCGTAACATGTGTTGCCTTTGCCTTGATCTTGGCATTTCTTCAAGCTGATGCTAAAAGGCTCACTCCAAATGCACGTCACCTGTTGGCTTCACTTAAAAATGATCAAAATCAGGGCCGGAGCACTGCCGTTGTCGCTGACGGCAATGCGAAGAATCAACCTCAGTCTCAGACCACAAACAACAACGAGGCTAAACTTGACGAGGATGACGATAATGCCAATGAGAGTTATGGTCAGTATGGAAATGCTCCTACCGGAAATGATTCCCACCGTTATTTTCCCGACGATAAATTTCACCACCAATAAGTGTAGCTAGGGTTTGATCCAAGGGCTAGCCATAAGCTTTTAGGTTGTGTAATGTAAATTATGTGTTTGGCTTGTAATTTGCCAATAAAGTGGAACTCAATAATAACATGTCGCCATATATCTAAAAGATGCGTCCAAGGTCGCAAGGCGCATGTTTGATTTCACCCGTCTAGGGCTGGTCATGTCGTGTGTTGTAATATTTTCAACTCATATATATAATAAAATGCCATGAATGTATGCATGGCTAGTGTGGCGTTTTTATGCAATTCAATTAGAAAATGTCATCTTACACTTTTTTCTTACAATCGCACAATTTAACTAAATAAATTTTATGTTTCTATTAAACATGTATCATCTAAAGGAAGTATGAAAATGACATTTTATAATTGTCCACGTAGAGCCACAGTGCCACGTGGACACATAGTAATCATCCAATCAATGAGCCACGTCATCAGTTAATTGATCTCTTGAGTCTTGATGAAATAGCTAATGGAAGTATGAACATGTCACACAATCCTAACTTTATGTGTGAAACTAGGATGACGAAAAGTGTATGAAAGTTTAAAAATCACAATACTTGAGAGTAGTATAGGAAAAATTATCCAAAATAGTATCGAACTATCGAGAATCTGAAACCATTACAAACTTAAGGTGTTGTTTTCACTGTTTCGATGTTATCAGCTTTAGAGTTGGGCAAATGGGTCCTGGACCCGCGGGTCGGGGCGGGTAATGCCAATTCGGGGTGGGTACATATATTGTAAATTCAAAACAGGGGCAGGTCCATTTAATTAGTGGGGCGGGACGGGTACAAATTTTAGAGCAAACGGGCCCTAGACCCGAACCTTTTCCACTATTCATTATAGGGAGATTAAATCTCCACCATTTATTTCTAACACATAAGTTATGTTGAATTCTCCAGAGTCCTCTGACTCCTCTTAACCTTGATCTCGAATTCTCCCAGCTTCGTCCGTTCATTAACTGGCAGGCATTCTTCTTCATTTCAGCAACCATTTCCAACCTTTAGATCTGGTCAGTCGGTCTCCAAAGTCTTCCTGAGTTGGTACTACACAACACAAGTACTACCTACCTTGGTACTACACATCACAAGTACTATGGATTAGGATCCTCGCCGGATCCATTACATCTGGATCCTCTGGATCACCCATATCCTCATTCCCCTCTCCTCTATAGCAATCACCATCACTGCTGCAAACAAACCTAAACGCGCCACTGCAAACTGCAGTGGAGGTGAATGTGCAGCACGAGAACTACACGAAGGATGCAAGGGCTTTCGTCGCGTTGGTTGCAGTTGTTGATCTGAGGATGGACGCTTGCAGGATTTTCTCACAGTGGCTAAGGAAAGAGCTTGGATGGGGTGATGTCGATGTGCTTTGGTAATTGCAGAGGAGAGTGGGATACTAAAAATTGATCGATTTCATCACTCCAGTTCTCTTATTTGTCTTCGATGATGCCCTCTTTCTGTCCAAAAATTCGATTTTGAACTCGAATCTAAACTTGGTCGAGTGGAAATTTGATTGGGAATCTAGGATACTGAAAATTAGAGAAAAAAAAATTGTACCTGTAAGAAACGGCCTGTTTTATATTGACCGGGTTAGGTCCAGCTTTCAGTTTTAAAATTGTAAAATCCGCCGTCCTATTGTATTTTCAAACGGGTCTTGTCCAGTCCCTCTTTGGGCCCGGCCCGTGCCCCACCCCAAATCAGCTTTGTTTTGGGCCATAAGTGTATGCACGAAAGTGGATCGATCAACAACGTGGCATTGGCATTCTTTCCTAACCATCGGATCAATCTCAACGGTTAGTATTGAAACTTTAATTAATGCTAAAACTGGATTAATCTCAACGACCTATGCTGCAATTGCAGGCTTGCGGTGGTGCTTTCAGGCGTCCTGGGGAAGGAAGGCGAAAGAAAAGCAATCAGTGAAATAGATGAGACAACCGGAGTGATTCGAAGTAAATGTTCTACCATGGGCGGGTTTCCAATTCGGGTCTTTTTTGACCCGGTTGTAACTTGAAGAAAAGCCTCATCTCCGATTATTTTAATCCAACGGTTGCTGTTTAAACGTATAAATTAGATGCGGATTTATTGATGTACACTAGAGAATAATTGCAACAACCATGTGCCTTGGGCTTGGCGGATTGTATACAAATGTATTTATTATTTTTCTTAAAAAAGATCAGTTAATGGTTTCGACACTACAATTATAGGTCTACCACCGCTTTGTTCAGGAAACTATTGGCAGGCGGTTGTAAACAGACAGATTATGTGGAGCTGAAAAGTATACTTTTTTGTGTAACCCATGTCCATTTTTGCATACCTTGGCTTACCCAAATCGGCAATGTGCTCTCTTTTATGCATTTAAATTGAAATCGTCTTGCAAATTAAATAGATTTAATACAGATTATACCATTGGTTAAAGAAATATATACAATTTTTGGCATACTGTATAAATATAAGTGGACTCATTTTTTAAATTTCAAAGTACAGTATGTTACAACTAAATAAAAGTCTTCCAATATAAAAGATATGAAAAAGATTTTAACGATTTGGTATCAATTTGTTCGTGGAGTCCACATCCCTAGTGGCTATTTAGGCACTTTCATGGTGATTAAGAACAAGGTTGAAAGAGAAAGCAAGTATAGTAGAGATAAGTGTTATTTTTGTACCATGATGTGGATGGTGTGGGTTCAAACTTTGCCGATTCTCTATTCTAGTATCTAATTTAATAAATTTATCGTTTCACAAAACAAATAAAAAATAAGGTTGAAAGAGAAATTCTAGAAAGATGATTTTAAAAATGGAATTCTTCATTAACTCTCCACAACCTCATATTTTTAGCACGTGCCAACAAAAAACTTAAAACAAACTTTAATTTCTTCCGGACTCCCAACACACGATATTTTTTTATATTTTTAAACATTTGATATTCCTTTTTTTTTTTTGGGTACACGTAAACATACAAGTGGTTTGTCCAAATCTGGAGGTGCGTGACGGTCGATCTCCTTCTCCCAACCCTCCTTCTATAAATGGCAATATTTTCCATCCCTTTTTCTTCACAGACCCCCATCGTCTCCCACCCTATCTGTTTATATACATATCTCCCATTCTCCATCAGATCATATCAGATCAGACGGGGCACATCTCCAGTTTGTGCCTGAATCAAACCCCATCTCAGCTGTCCATCTGTCTGATGGCTAATCCAACGGTGTTAGATTCACGCACAAACTCGTGATCTGTCTCCTCTTCCAACACCCTATTCCCCTTTCCTTCTTCGCTTTTTATCTGAATTACTTTTCCTTCCAAAAATAAAAATTGATTGAACTTTTTGGCGCCAATTCCGATTCACATTTTCCCTCTCAATCAGTTTTTGTTTCCCTCTCAATCAGTTTTTGTTTCCCTCCAGGCTCAGAAGAAGAAGAATTGGGAAGGGGAAGAATCTGAAATATTTGGGAATCGGATCGAATGGACTCGGGTTCGGGTTTGGATTCGGGTCTGGAATCAGGGTCAACGGAGGATTACGAGACGGACGTGGAGCTTCTGAAGAGGGCGTGGCGGCAGGAGAAGGCTGCTCCGGAGGTTCTTCAGTTCGAGAGTGCTTTGATTCGGAGAATCATTGAGCAGATCCAATTGATGGTAAACTTCGCTAAATATAAACAAACAAAACCCTAATTTCTATTTTTACTGTCATTATTTTGTTGTATTGAATTTGAGCCACAAAAATTTAGTATCGGATATTAAATGAAGAGATTTGTTATTAGCACTTTAAAATTTTTATTCCACATTATCTATGAGTATTTTTCTTTCTAATTATAAAAATAAAAGGCAACGCTAACATTTCTCCTATATTCACCTTGGCCTTGTAACTCAACTGGTTAAAAAGCGTTTACATGCACCTGAGATGCTGTGTGTTCGATTCTTAAATATCATTTGTATCGATAAAAACTAAAATTGATCTGGTATTTATTTAAGGGGATTGTTATTGACACTAAAAAAATCTCATTTTGTATTCCAAATTTTTTATAATTAGAAAGAAAAATTCACTTGTGGAGAGTGTAGAATGATATTTTTGGAGTGGTAATAGCAGTTGTCTTGTTATTCTGAAATTTGAGAAAGGAAAAAGAAGTAATCTTACTGTTAGTTTAGTATGTTAATTGGGTTAAAATTTGTGCTAGTAATTTGTGTTATTTATAATCCCAATTGGATTCATATAACTAACAGGAAGAAACTGTGGAGGAGTTCACTGAGAGCGGTATCGATCCGCTTACCGTGTCACTGTACCAGATGGATTTGGACAGAACTCAGTTTTTGTTGAGATCTTATTACCGAATTCGTTTGCAGAAGGTAGCAATGCTTGCTGTTTGCTTCTTTGCTTGTTTTTAGGTGATAGAGAGACGAGCATTCACTTTGTTTCATGATAAGTTTATTAAAAGAAAGTTGAATCCTAGGTTGCTATAAGCATTTGGAAAGTTCATATATGCTACTAAACAAAGCTTTGTTATTCGTCTTTCAAGGAACTTCCTTTTGCAGATTGAGAAATACATGTTTCACATTCGGGATAATGCTGAAAGCCGTCTCTCTGATAAGGAGAAGCTGTTTGTTGAACGGCGAGGGACTCCAACCATCTCATTTTTAGTTTGTGCTCATTCAGTGGAAGCACATGATTCAGATTTACTGTGATTTGGAGTTGACATGGTTAGTGGTTGCAGGTGCTGCGCTGATTTGCAGACGCATCTTGAAAAGAGCATTCTGTTGCAGTTGCCTTCTACTTATCAGTCTGTATTCCGTCAATCAAGTGAAAAGGAGACTGACATGGGTAAACATTCACATTATCCTTTCAGAATTTCGTGATGAATCTCTATTCTTCCCCCACCCCGTATGTGATGTGTATTATTATAGTAACAGTTCATTTACCCAAGATCAATTCCCCATGCTTAATGCCTAAAGTTTTAATTCCAAGATATATAGTTATCGGTGGCCTTTTCGACAATTTACCTAAAAGGCTTGCGTTTTCTGATATTGTTAGGCAGAATCGTATAACTTGTAAAACTTGTGATAAAGTTTGATGCGGTATTGTGCTAAGAAAAACTTGTAATAGCATTCAGTGAGGTATCCAATGACAAGCTAGTGCGGAACCAAGGTGGTTTTATTTTGTGTGTTTAATAACGAAGTTTTTATCAGAAACAATGCATTAGTTGAAATTCTTAGCTTCCCCCAAACCCCATCACCCACCCCCACCCCCCACGCGGAGGGTAGTCTGATCTTTCCCCGGTTATTACTTATATTTCTTTAACTGCATAAAATTGCTTTAACTGCAGACTATTTTCTACTAAACAGATTTTTTGATTGATCATATGGTAGGCAGCTTGTAGATAGGCCTTCTAAACTCTAACAATGTTCTGTCTATGCTCGACTTTCAGTGCCGAGACACCAAATGGATACATTTGTTGTCTGCAAAACCAAGTACTATCTTGGACATATCCAGCTCGAGGACGATGGAGAATCAGATAGCAGGCAACTCATATATTCATACTTATTTACTCTTATAGAGACTTGTTTCTTGTTTAGCTTACTGGTTTCAATTCCCCTTATGACAGTGCGAGCCAGCGACCATTGGACGAGCCGTTTGAGATGGAGCCTAATGTGTTGTACTTTGTACGTTATAAAGCAGTGAAAAAATTTGTAGAGGAAGGGGAGATTGATTTATACTGAGCACAATCTTGCACCCTATTGCTTGACCGATTTCATCATGGAAGTGAGTTTCTGTGCAACATCCAGCGCTTCTACGTCGAATGTTGAAAATGATGAAATCCTCAAACCAAAGGTGACGTAGCGGTCTCTCCACCTTATTGGTTTACAACATTTGCTTAGAAACTATCCACGTGCAAGTCAGGGGAGCGGTTTTCTCCCTCGCAGGATCTGTATGTACTAATCATTTATCATTGCTTAAGAATGGTCATTGTGTACGATTGGTATTCTTTTCGATGGATTTTTAGTGTGCAGGAAACATGATCAAAAGAAAATTTCTCGTTTTTATTAATGTCAATTTTTTTGGCAAACGTTTGGTTTTGAGATCAACTAAATTAGAAATCATATCTCAACTGATCAAAATCAAATCAAAATTTTATTGGAAATTGATTCATCGTTCATTGAGATTTGACAATTGGTTATCATGCTACCATTCATTTTCTTCCCTCTCTTTATGTCAATTCACACACAGAAATAAAAGGCCATTATGGTATAGTTTTCAAGTCCGTATTGATTCAAATGTGTCACACAATTTTAAAACCTACTTGCATGTTCACAATGTGTTGCGTATGCGGAGATGCTAGTTACACTAACATGAAAACAAAAATAAAAAATAATGAGATCCAATCGAGACTTTATACCAATTTACTTTTCTTTACAAATTGGCTCCTTCTACAATTTCCTTCTTTTCTTGCCAAATGACATTTCAATTTCCGTTATCATAAAACAAATTTGAGTTTCTATGCTGGGGATTTTCAAGAATCGAATTTGTAACTTTAAGTGCATAAATACACGATCTTAACTATTTAAATTATAAATGATCAAATTTGTGGACTCATGGTTAAGATATGTAGTCGAATCACCTTCAATGGCCAAATGAGTGACATATGAACTTTGATTGAGTCGTGGTTGCCACGTGATGTTGCATATGGTTGTGTCGAGTGTGCCTTGTTTTGTCGCTGTGGAGATGAACCGACCCTGGTTTTCTTTTGGCTTAGTTGTTTGATACATGTTTATGCTACCTAGTGGTTTGTGTGACCTTGTTTTTTAGCGATGGTTTTATGTGATCCTTGGTTTCGAATTTGTCATCACTAATCTATTGTGGCAAGATTTGCACCGTTGGTTCTTGTGTGTTCTTTGTTTATTGTGTTTGTCACATAAAGAATGTATTATGCTTGCTTGTTGCGAGCACTTATTCTTTCCACCACCAAAAAAAAATGTACCCAACTATTACCTTCTTATAACCATGTTATAATTGTGTTTCTATTATTAATGTATTATCGCTATCAAAAACTACGTACAGATCTCGTAAGCTCTAGAATTTCCCAATTGAGACATGTAGTTCATTGAGGTATGCAGTATCAGGTAATGTTAAGAAGATTAAATTTATATTAGTAAACTTGAGGCATGCAGTTTATTGTAGAACCTATACTTCCACTATATGCTAATATATGTGGACACCAAGTATTTTGAACCTACAACCAAAGAAAATTTCGAATAGAGTAATACTATTCATACCATGTTTTTGTACGATATTTTCATACCACCTTATGTGACATTTGACGTGGACAGCCACATCATTTGAATTAATCAAAATTTTAAATTTAGTTCATTATTTAATAAACTAATAATTAAGAAAAACTAATTAATTAAATGATGATTGTGGTATACGATGAGTCTTTCTTCTTCATTTCCTTGGGTTTTGCAAATTTTTCAAATGATGTGGCTATTCACATCAGATGCCATCTAAAATGGTATAAAAATGTGGTACAAAAATATGAATAACATTACCATTTCGAATATTATTGATTAAAAGATAAATACTTGGAAAAGATTCTCTGCATGCTATAATAGCATGGAGCCAAACACTAACAAACAAATTTGGCAAACCCGACCAGAACGAAGCAGGGACACCTTTCAGTTTTTCTTTGTCATCACATACAGATTCAAACGACACCGTAATTCTGTTTCCCACCACTTTCGTGGAGAATACAGAAAAATCTGGCTGGAGCGCAATGAAGCCAAAAACTAAGACCTGGCGAGCAACGTGGTCAATGGCTCAAGGCGCTTCGCCGACTTGATCAACGGCCAGGATTTTAAGCAAGCCAGCATACGTCACGCCTTGGTTCTCATCGCCGCCGCCCAGTTTAATCATGGCCTTGATATCTTCATCGGTGGCGACGAAGCCGGCGCTGCTCATGTAGCTCTTCAGGTCCTCGTGGCTGAGCTTTCCGTCGCCGTCCTTGTCCATCACCTTGAACACGTCCTCCATCACTCCCGAGCTTTTCGCGCCGTCGCTGCACGCCAAGACGCGCTCGAACTCCTCGTACTGGACGAACCCGTCGTTGTCGGAATCGGCGGCCGACATCATCGATCCGATTAGGTTTTCGTCGGCGGCGGAGCTGGAGAGGCCGGCGTAGAAGGCTCGGAGGTCGTCTTTGCTGATCTTGCCGTCGCGGTCGGCGTCCAGAACGTCAAATGCTGGACGGAAGTCAGAGGTGAGCGTAGTCGTCGCGGTCTCCACGCTGAGAGTTCGGCCGGAGGGACACATTGCGATGCGAACGGCGCTGTGTGTTAAACGACGTCGGGGTGAAGCTCCGGTAGAAGAAGTCGTGGAAGGAAAATTTATGTGACTTGAAGAGAGGCATTCGGGTATTTATAGAGGGAAGGGGTTTTGGGAGAAATTTTCAAGTGTGTCTAATACACGGAAATAATACATCATATATTATTATTTAATATGAAATATGTGTCTTTAAAAATTATTAACTTTAAAAAATAAAATTTTTCATTATTTATAAAAAAACAAATGATGTCGCTCCGTGTTCCGATTATCATGAAAATTTCTTTGATTTTAGACCTTAGAGTCCAAGAGTTTTGGGGTGGAGGGCCCACAATAGCTTGGTTCACAAGATTCTGAGAGAGTAAACAGTGAATTGCCATGTGTAATGCGTATGGAGTGACGTCATGAGACTTGGACCGACAACGCCGGTGGGTCCAGAACCTGCCAAAACCACACCATATAATTCGGTTAATGATGCTTTGGGTTTGATTTTGGTTAAGTTTAAACCTCAAACTAGTAGCATAAACTAACATTAACAAAACAATTTTATTTCACCATTTTCTTTCCAATGTATGTTAGAGATCGTTCGAAAGTATTATTAGAATGAATGAAAACATTTTTTGTGAAATTTATAACTAATTTTTCGTAAAAAACGTAAATGAATCTTGAAAATGTTTACTGGAAAAATCACATAATTATTGCTTCTTTAAAAAAAAACACTTCAAGTACTTTTGAAAACTCAAAAATATTTTCTTCGAAAACACTTTTAATTATTTTAAAAATACTTTTCAACGAGTCATTAAATACTTTGAGATACTCCCTATTACCAATCTTAGCCGTCATTATTACAATTGCCTTTTTTATATATTTGATTTCCTAACAGTTAATTCCCCTATTTTTTTCTCCTTGATTATCATTTACTTTTTATTTATTTATTGTAGTGTATAAACGCAATTACAATCTTCCAAAGAATCACAAATAAAATATGGATGCTTTTCAAATCAAAAGAACTCACGTCGAAAATATTAATAGGTTTTAATATCATATTATTACTCTGAAATTTTTTGATTAATACGTCTATTAACTGATGAGGTTGTGGGCACCATGTGTCAACCTGGCGCCAAAAATAAAAATAATTATAAAATTGGGGATGGGTTGGCTTCTGGTGTTCTTCCTGACCCAAGACCAAAGAAATTATCACACCCTGTTTTCCCCCAAGGGGCTTTTCAATTTCCTTCTTCCCGGCCTTCGAACTGAGCCGCATCTTCAACCTTCATCTTCAATCTCCACCACCATGTTATATCAGTCCCCACTCCTCCACCCACCGCTTCGACTTCCTCCTCCTGCCAACCCCAAAACCCTAACCTAATTTTTGGCCCAAATCCCTAAAAGGGGTATGTCGAGTTGGGCTTCGTTCGGTCCCTGCAACCTAGAAACCATCCACAGCCATTTCTCATCTCAGTTCAGATCCGCCCAAGATGTTGTTTTCCAACCCCAAAATTGAAAGGACATCGATGATTTGCATGTAGGCCTTCATATTATCGACAACCACGATGGATGACGGCGACGAGGATGTGGAGAAAGAGGAGTTGGATTTGACAATCCGGAATGTGACTGGGGAAGGAAAGGGAGGAGCGGAGGAAGAGAAGGTTGGCTGCCCAACTGGATAACGCAGTAATCAATCTGGTCCAACGCTGACGCCGTCCACGTCCCCAGTTCCAGTTGGTTCTTTCCCATGGGACATGGTGGCAATGGTAAGGATTTTGAAAAGACATCGACGGTAGGAAGGGAAATGAAGAAATGGGGTTTTGGTGAAGATGGTAGCTCGGGCGAAGGGGGAGAAGAGAAATGAAATAGGGTTTTTAGTTTTATTATTTATTTAATTTTTGAATATTCACGTAGGCTTATATTGACACGTAGCGTCCAGTTATTGTTCACGTGAGGGCTACATCATATGTTAACAGAGGTTTTGATGTCGTGAACGCTACATCATCTGTGATCGGAGGTTTTGACGAAAAACTTAACAAAGGTACGAAAGTGCCTCAGAATTATGATTTCAGGTATCAGACTAAGACGAAAAAAATTTCAGGTATGAAATGTTGAAAACCAATAAACTTTAGGATAGTAAACTGAGATTAACCCATATTAATATTATAAATCACACTGCGTATGTATGGTCCAATACGATTACCAAATGAGCCTCAAATATATTTACTGAATTTCAGTCATCAAGTAACGTGTGCATATGATTTAAATTTTATTTTCACGAGAATCAAATCTAAACCTAAGTAATCATGTAATTTTAGTGTGTAGGTAAAACGCAATCAAGCCTAGTAGCCTAAACGTTAGGATTTGTTATTCCTTTATTTTCTTTAGGCCCAAAATCAGGCCCTGGACGTTTGGGTTTGCTTAATTGGGCTACTTGTGTTGGATCCAATCCAAGTGAGCCGAATGTAAATGTAATGGTTCAGTCGTAATATCACTAACATGAAGGGGCTTTCCATAGAATAAATCATAAACCCTAATCCTATAAATTCCAGTATTTAAACACAACCCTGCCATGCCTTCCCGGCAAACGCGAAAACAGGGTAGCTCCCAGCCTCCTTCCCTCCGCCTTCTCCTCTTACTCTCTGCTATTTTTTATTTTAATTTTTATATTTTGGTTTTCGTGAAAAAAAATGGAGGAAAAGAATTGTGGTGATTGCTATCGTGCGCCTCTTGATGAAGCCCGGATCCCATTAATTTGGATTTAGGGTTTTATGTTCTTAATATAAAGAACGAGGAGGCAAATTTGGTGCAGGAATGTTGAGTCGCTTCGCCTTTGAATTCTTACCGGGCTCAGTGAATAACACCCTGCCAAATCCCCCCTTCTTTTTCTCTATTTTTTTTCATCCGTTTTTATTTTATTTTTTGTTTCGTTTTGCATCTGATATTTTATAAAACGGATTTTATTGAAGAATTTTGATTTGCGTAGTGTGGGGGCTCCGATGATGGATTAAATCTTTGAGACCTGATCATCGAATGGATGACAACTATAAGCATGGTTTCTGAGGATCCCTTTTTAATTTTATGCATTTTATTTTATATAAAATTATAGAATTTATGAGTATAAATGATGAAGTCAGCACTGGGCTCTGAGTACATTTGATGCACTAAAAATGCAGCCTAGAAAGCTATTTCTGATATAATATAAATACACACATACTTTTCTCTTGTTCTAAATCTCTCAATTGTCTTTGTTCTTTTTCTTAGGCAACCCCAAAAAAAAAAAAAAAAAGTTGCAGACCTTGGTTATTTACAATCTGCTGGACAAAGGCAAAGATGTAGGGAATATTTAAAGGTAATTAAAAATAATCTGAAAAGGGTAAAGTAATTTGGATTGAAATGTTTTAGAACGAGAAAAACAGCAGAATGGTTAAAACATAAGAATGAGTATCTTTTTCGGATCTGGAAATTTTTCAATCACATCTGTGTATCATATAAAATGTGGTCAGTTTTCATCAGGTGCTGTTTGTATTTGAACTTTAAATAAAAAAATTACAATGATTTCTGACCGTATAATATACGATAAACGAATGTGATTGGAAGATGTGAGGATCCTCATTCAAAACATAAAACCCAAATGACACGTTTATTGATCTGTAACAAAAGTGAGGGGAAACTGAATCAGAGGGCTTACAATTTCATGGGACGAATTCATCACTACTATGTCGCCTAGTGTTAATAATGAAATAATCTGTGTAAAATTTTGTCTACATTACAATGTACCAAATGTGCACAAGACTAAAAAAGTACATGTGTCATATAAATTATTCTTGAAGCAAAAATAATTTCCTTAATATAAAATTTGGAATCTAAATACAGAAATCGAAGAGTTTCAAATAACTTATCAACTACTTGTATTGTTTGACTGAAAAATTCCCCTGCCAAATTGAACCCACAATTCGAAAGGCGGCTTCTGCCTAAAACTTGTCACTCATAATTCCAGGGTTGAAGCTTCATGCCGTAATCTATTGTAGTTAAGGACCCCATTTGGGCAATGACGGAGCTAGTTAGAAATTTTTCATTAAGTGGGCTCGTTTAAAGATTTAAATATTTATAAACAAAGAAATTTGATGGTATATTTTTCACAGTTGAGTGTGGATATGGGTATCTGGCGTCGAATCGGACATTGAGAGAGAGAGATTGTGAAAACTTACCAAATACTTTTGACACTATTTTTTATGCTAAAAGGGCTTTTACGAATACATTTTACAGAACACCTAATTGTTTCATTAAAAAGCTGATTCCTCTCATAACACAGCATAAACAATTTTTTTTAAAAGCACAAGAAAATACCAAACTTGCCCTAACTCAGTCCAGATGAAGTGGTGCAAAATTTTCAAGGTATCATTCTCCGCCTTGTGTTCCTTCTCCATTTTCCTGTTCCCGTGTGTCAGAGACATCTGTGCCTCAGGATTTGATTTGTAACCACTTTAGCATAAAGATTTGAACTAAACTCAGCGCACAGGATTTGAAAAGAAAATGACCACGAAATATACAACGAATCCGGCAATGAGAATCCCCCCGTAGATATAGGTTTGAGATGACTGCACAGGATACTTGTACTCAATGTCGCAGCACTTCATCTTTTCCCTCTCAGTCGCCAGAACATGGTCTACATACCTGCACCGCGCAAATGACTAAAATTTTGAGAAACCTGCTCCACAGATACAGTTCAACAACCAGCTGATGATCTTTTCCTGCGTGGTAAACTTATAGTAAAATACCGAACTAAACTTTTGCAAATATGGAAACTTACTGCTGAGTAAATATGGAACTCTGGAGAATCTCTGAACTGTTTAGATGTGCTTCTTGTAAGCGATGACCATACAGTGACGAAGACAAGTCTACAAGCTGTTCCTCGAGGTTCTGTTGTTTAGATGTCTTAGACGTGTTAATTATCTTCAAAATGTTTGCAAAACACACGAATTCTACAAGTAGGAATGACTTACATCCAAGAAGTTCTCCAATCTCTCAACTAATTCATGCGGGAAGGGTTCGGGCAAGTTAGTTGTTTTTTTGTAAAACTTCTCCACCCACAGTTCAGTGGTTGATTTGTTCTTCTTGCCCTTCACTGGTTCACCAAGGGGAGTTTTCAGATACTCTGCGGCAAAAGTTTGTACAGTCTGCAGAGGATGATCGAAACCATATAAGCACAACATCATGCAACAAATAAACGGCTAAAAAAGACCAAAATTACCTCTGATGTTTCGCGAATTTTACGGAGTGCAGAATCTACACGTGCATATATTGTGTTCCTCTGCCAAAAAGATAAACAAATACTTTAGATATCGCAATGCTAAAGAATATGCGCGTACATTTATATCTGTTCGCGTGTGCCACCTAGTGAAGAATATGTGCGTATATTTATATCTGAAGTATTATATATGATAGTGCACAATTTGGCATCGTAAACTAGCCTTACCAACGCAACATCCTGAAGAATTTGACTGACTTGAGAAGTATTAGAGAATGGTCCAAACGGATGACAACCAGCTGCCCAAAGCCAATTTACAACTGGCCTTTCATGTATATGAGAAGCCTTCTCATATGGTGCACTCAACCCACCAACAGCGGAGGCAAGCCCTGCCAATATATGGCGTTGTGCCTGAGAAGGAAAGTTGTGTCTTCTCTGTGTTTCTGAAACATAACTGCCCGCCAAGACATTTCAGCAACACAGTAAAAATGTGACTTCTTATGGAACATAGGGAGGTGAAAGGAGAATGCCATCAAAATCAATGCTGGAAGCCCGGGAATAATATATTGTTTCCTTACCTAAGAGGTATCTTCTCATTTTGGTGCTCAAGTACAATCACGACATCTTTGCTTGTCCATACAAGACTTTCGTCTTCCATCATAAGTTGTGGATCCACATCAGCCAATGATAGCACAAAGCTGTGGAAAAAGATATAAAACAAAAATTTACAGTAATCAATACTCAATGATTTTATGACTGATGCAGTAAAAAAAAAAAAAGAGGTCATGACACAAAGCATTACTAACAAACTTCTAGCTACTGCAGCTAGGTGACCATATATGTCATAAAAAACTGAAAGCAAGCCCTAGAAGTTATATGCAACAGCTATCTGATGTAAATATTCTTAACTACAAGTTTCAATGATCGTATTTTTATGCTAAAATTCTGGGTGGCAGGCGATATGCATAAGAATGCGGATGTAGTTAAGCAAGACGAACTCAAGAAAAGTAACTTCGATATAAATGTATGAAATAAGAATGAAGATGCACTATTATGAGAATAATACTAAAATTAAATACTGCAGGCAACTCAAGGTGGCATGCTCACACAGGAATCACTCTTGTTCCATAAGTCCGGTAGATATTTCCTTGTTTCCTTACTACTTTCTTCTTTTTCTTGCCACGTTTTGAGTCATAAGTAGTCCAAAGAGGTTTATGCTTTAGTATAGAATCACTTGAATTTTCAGTTTGATCTGCCCAATGCTGGCGGACAAAAAGTACAGATTAGGACATTGAAGAAGGAAAGAGAACTCAAATATACTTTAGAGCTTCCATAACAGAAGAAAAATGTCTCAGAAACAAAAAAGAGACACTAAACATGTACAACTGTAGTAGATTTAGACAAACCTGGCGGAGGAAAAATTTACTTGAAAGAGATGGGTCAGCCACTTCAAGCAAACCAGCAGCAAGCACATCAGCAGAACGTTCCATCTCCTGGAATGGGTATTTCCAAGTGGAAAAAGAAAATTAGAATGTAGACATAACTTCACTTAAGTTCCATCTGATGTTAAGACGAGGAAAGAAGCATGACTTTTTAACTTTTAGACTAAAAATGATGACATCTATTATATACGGCCCTAAAGAAAAAGAAATGAAGAACAGTAGATAAATGAAGAAGTACCCACTTCTTTAAGAATAGCACCATCCAGATAAGTCTTGGTATGAACATGGAAGCGTCCATCGTTCTTAGTTTCTTGCAGCGAATGGCTTCGCATAGCTTTTGAAACAGCAATAGACAACTTCTCATGGCGATGCAATGAATGTGAACCCCCAACGATCACAACTTCTTGGCCAACATGAACCATTTTCTTCACCTGAAGAGGGGCAAATTAAACGATCAAACAAAAATGGAAGTGATTTTGGGTTTATGTATCTCAAAGCACAACAATGCAATTATGATAGGAGGAGAAGGAGAGGGTTGCTGTAACGGAACAATCCTAAAAGTGCCTCATTCTTTCTTCACATAGTCATCATAGGCAATCTAAAGATGTTTGAGTTATTCCAGAAAAAAATAACTCACCTCTGCCTCAATTGCTTCAATATTTATGCTGTAGTTGTGGCCTTTGTCTATTATATTGTACCGATTGTGATTTTGCAGGACAATTATTGGTAATAGCAGCCTTGTTGTCAAGTCAACAGTTTCAAATCTGAGTTAAGAGCATAAATAATAGTTAATGACCACTAATAAAAAATGTATGAAGTATTATAAAAAAAATAGCAAGCTTGTTGTCAAAGAAAAACCATAGTCCTGATTTAGTACGTTCTACTTTGTGATGTACAAAAAGACCAAAAAAATAAAGGAAAGAGTAAAATAATCCCAGTTCAAATCAACATGTCAAAAGATACACTTAGTACCTAACATCTGGAGCTATAACATGCTCAACTGTGGTGGACACTAAAGACGCAAGTTGTCCAACAAATACATCATGTGTAGGATGATCACTAGCTGCACCAAAACCTCTTGGAACCATCACATTGCGAAGTCGTGGCAGTGACCTAGAACTGACGGTTCCCTCTTCAGTTTCAATCTTTCCATATGTGCATGGGCCTGCTGAGAGATCGATCACAACAAATCTGACAGCATATGCAGGAAATTAGTCTTTTTTTTCAATAGAAAAAAAAATACCAGAGTCAGATATAGAGAGCATAAATTGGTAACAATACATAGTCCCAAAAAAAGCACAAAATTGATCATTCAATTTGATACTGTCAAAAGCTAGAGTACCTAGCAAAAACATGGATTAAAGGAATGTTTCTAACCACCATTAAACTGCAAAGCACAATGCCATTTTTATTCATATTCCATAACACCAAATAACAACTCTCCTACATATAAACTACTACCTCCTACAAATAACTCCGCAACCCAAACAGATAACAGACGACGAAGTAACACACTAACCATAACTCAAAACAAGCCTAAAGACTTCAAGTTAACCTTTGTAACATACTACCCATAACCTCACACGTTCAAGTACACCAGTCCATGTATTTGAAGTATACTTGCTATATGTTCACATGTTCACTAATCCACGTTACTCCATGTACTTTCAGGGTAGGCTTCCCCCTCCTTGTGGTCTAACACAGAGCACACTGTATATGTTTGTAATAACTACATGGATAACTTACACCCCTAAATTAGTGTGTAACTTATTCTAGCATTTGCTCTTGGAAAACCAAGAGGAGGTTTAATCTACAAATAATACTTTGTTAACTGTACCTGCCAGAGCCAAGCCAAACTTGAGAGGCACCTCCTCCATTGTATCTATAGCGATAAATGTAGTCTCCCTCTTGGTTTTTCATATCTTCCTCAGTTAGCTGGCTAAGTTTTCCATACATTAAGCTGTCAAGATCAATGTCCTTATTCCTAGGATCCATCCTTACCTGTAAAACAAATATAAACACCCAATATAACAGGTACAGTTGAGAGAGACTATTAATGACTGGTTCGAGAAATATTGACAAGCACATTCCCTTCATGTATGCAAAATCATATGGTAAAATAACATGCATATTAAATGACTAATGTCGAATACAAACAGAGACTAAGAACTGTGCTGATTTCAGACCATACCTTATCAAAATTGACAATAAATATTGCACTCGGAATTTGCCGATCCATATTCGTAGCAGAATTAGCAGCATTCTCTATGTCAAATATGTAGGAATATAACTTCTGAAACATTGGCTCCACTACAGTTGCATCCACTTCATACAGAGGTACTTGCCTTCCAAAATCAGTCTAAAATATTGAAGAACGATTTAAACCTTAATTCAATGACAAAATGATACTTGCAACTTTCTCAAAAGACAATGTACAGCAGACAATGGAACTATGGAAGTCACCTCTCTTGCGTTTCCTGCAGCAACCATAGCTTCTTTCAGTGCCTTCTCAAGAGCTATTAGTTCTGGTTGCCCAGCCTGTAATTAGAACAAATACAAAATCCAATCACCGGACAAAAATGTAGCCACACATAATCAACTCAAACATCATCGACACCCGTTCACATACACACACATGCACATATTATGTATATTGAATGCACACAATTCAAACAATGTAAGAATATCAAAAAGATAATGCTACGGTTGGATATGAAGCTTACCGGAAAGGCATTATAAACAATTTGATGCTCGATATCGAGAGGTTCTCCTGTCTCAAGGCAGGAAGGCCTATGCGATGGGAAGCTGATTTTCAGAAAATCTTCCAATTTGTGCGAATCGATGGAGTACCTGTAGCCTCCATCGCCATTGAAGCCAATAAGAACCACATTCACTTCGAGAGGAACCTGAAACGGCACCTACACGCACACACACAATCACTCCCAGTCACGATCACACTAAGTTTAAACCACATGTAAAAGAACAATTTCTCAAAAATTAAAACCTAATTTCGGAATTTTGTGATTTTTTTTCGTTTCTGGCTCAGGTTTCTCAGCAACCAAACGGAATTTCAATTACTTTTAACGAAGAAATGGACAAGGAGGAAAGTGAAATTACCTCGGCGCGAGAGTGGAGCATGCGGCGGACATCGGATCGGACGCTATCTCGAACGTCGTGGAAGGCGCCGTGGTGCCACTGAGGGTGACCGGGATCTCGCCGGAAAGCCTGAGGCGCGGACTCGGATTGAAATACGAGCAGGCTCAGTGCAAAAACAAAGGCATGTAATATTGGTGTTCGATTTGATTTGGCAGCCATGGCTGCAGCTCGTTGGGAGAATCAGGTAAACAAGAAAGAAATGGGAATTGGGGGCGAAGAGTGTGAGAATTACTACTGGTTGAACTTGGACTTGGGCATGGCCGGGTCAGCTCGGTGAGACTCGGAGCGAGGCTCGCACACTGAGAGAAGCAAAGAGAAGAAAATGCTGAATTACATTAATTTTTCAAAATTGTCCCTGTATTTGAGCGTAATTTCTGTAACGACCCTCGAACCGTGATTGGGTCGGAGGAGCTAATACAAGTTCAGTCCATGCTACTGCCAATCCTGCGACACATGTAAAGCCCACCAAATTATAACTTATTCCAATTCTTCCAAGGCCATTGATGATGTCTCGTTCTAATAATATAACGATATATTATATATGTAAGTTCTTTTCTCACCTAGCATTGTATTTTTGGCAAGATACGCCGTGGTGATGGTATATGTGTATTATGTAAATTGTTCTCGTTAGCAAAAGCACTATTATCTATTTTCTTATAGAGTGTTGGTTTGTTCACCTATCCTTTCTATTTTTTGAATAAATACGATATTAAATACACTGCTCTTTTTATAACGAGTCATTCATCTTGACCTATAAATATGAATGATTCTACTGTGCAACATGTTGTATATTTCCCTCTCTCTTTCATAGGTAACTAGGTCATTAGATAGAAAAAGAAGAATACACCATCGTATACACCCAGATTTTGCCCTAAACCAGGGAACGAAGAAGCTGGTGAAATTTTTTTTTGGATAAAGAAACAAAGAATACAACCAAAAACTAACTCGCAACATCAAAGGAAACAAAGCGAGTTCGAAAGACTCCAGCAGTATCATCCACGAGTGAGGATCCAATCCAAACAAGAGGCTTATCAAACACATGAACGCCTATATCCATATTAAAACTCCAGTTTACCAACTGATCCCCCACACAATTCTTCTCTCTAGTGAAATTTGTGGAGTATATGAAATCGTAGTTTATGAAACTGGTTTTGTTTACAAGCAGTCATGCTGTCACCAGAATTCCCTGGGAAGCTAATTCGATAAATAAACCGAAGGGGGTGTAGCTGTAGTTGGGAGTTTTGAAGAAAAAATATATATATATATAAATAAACATGGCGGCTCTTGCATTCTGTATCTGGGACTGGGAGGCAACAAATTACAACATGCTTTTAAATATGACATAACGGAGAATTATACGACTCTGTAAATACAGTAATCTCTTCTAACATTATAACTCTCAAAGCCTCCTCAAAATCAAGCATTATCTCCGGATCCCGGTGGTTTGTTATCGCGCAGTATGATCATTCACGCATGTATCAAAATCAGCGGCAGGCAACCGAGACATGTTTGATGTCGTAAACTTATCCTTGGTCACGGGCACTTTTTATTGAGACCGGGGGCTCTTCCACTCTCCCTCTGGATATTAGGTCATGGTTTAAGAATAAAACAATGACGGTTATATCATCGTGAAAATGGCGTCGGACCTTCTTGTCAATTTTCCGAAGATCTGAATATCGCATCTCTCTTTTTCTTGCAGCTTCTTGGAGAGCCGTCTTAACAAGCCGCTTGGCACTTCCCTGCAACACGGGTACTAGTCAGCACCAGAGATCAAGAATAGAATCTCACTAAAAAGAGAGAAAATAAGCATCAGATACCAGAACATGTTTAAACCATTGGGTCAAAGTCAATGCTTCATTTTTCTTCCCTAAGTTGCAAATTAAAAGGCAGAGTATTTATCCTTAGATCTATATTTCCCTTGTTGGGCAATGGGAGACCAACTTAGAGCAAATTTTGTACACCATATGACGAGGTTGTTGATGATTAGATTATTACTTAAGTCTTGATTAATGTGCTTTTATCCGATTGGCATCACATGGTTTGTAAATTCGGTCTAAAATGTTGGCTTACCTAGCATTACTCTTCCCTTGATAGGTATTCAAAACTCAAGTCAGCACAATCACCAACAATCTCTTGTTATCAGATAAAAATGTGGCAGTGATGAATAAACATAAATATTATGAAGAATACTGAAACCTAAATGTTTTGTCCAGATATCCAGTCAAATATACTTCTTCAATTGCGATTGTTCTTTAGGGTCATTTGATCTACACCAAGGCAGGTAAGTAATTATGACACGAATGTGAATGCAAATAAGAGTTGCTAAACATGAATAAAAACTGAAAAGGTCAGAATCTTACCGCATGTGGATGATTGTGGACAATTTCAACAGCTTGTTCATTACTCAAGTGTTCCCATAGACCATCAGAAGCAAATATAAGAAAAGAATCTTTTGGATGGAGAGGATGAGAAAGAATGGTTGGTTCGGCAGACAAGATAGGCATGGTCATTGGTTCGGGAAGTCTGAACTTTGCACTAATCGGCTCCCTGTTAAACCTTGCATGTTTCATATATACGTCACCTATAGATTTAGATACCTACATCAAATACATTCAAGGTGTTATCGCAAGGCATCAACTATTTAAGAATGAAAAAAGTATGAAAATTTATAGGGAAGCATTTCATATTACATCCCAAAAATCTCATTTAAGAAAATTTCTAGCAAAGATAAAAGGTTTATGCAGACCTAAGAAAATGTGAAGTATTTATACATTTAACTTTCTTTATAAGCATCTAAAAAAAACTTGGTACAATGGCAAATTTTAACTTGGGTCTTCTTTAAACAAATTAACAGCGTTTGAGTTCATCATCTATATCAGACAAACAACTAAAGAATACATGCAAGTCAGGGAAAAAGTTAACACTTCAAAAATAACCACAGCAACCATGATTTCATTTAGACCTTGCAAAACAGTCCATTTTCCTCGCAACTTGGTTTAATCAGGTAAAACCATAAAATCAAACTATTGAAGCTATTTCGAATCAGCGAGGGTATTATCTCAAGTTAACCCTTGTAAACAGAGCTAGAAGCTAGTGGATATATTAGACTTCTATCTTAGTTCAAAATACTTATCAAAGGGCCTTCTACACCTTCACAATTATAAGATTTCAGTAATTCTTATAGCTGGATCCTAAACGGTACGAGCATAAGATGCAATACAGCACTGCATATACATGACATACATAGGATAGAGATGCTCAGACTTTACACTACATGCACAATACCAATAGGCTAGGACTAGGGTTCTAGCACCCTTTCGACAAATATTGGCTTCAGAAGCAACAGGTAGGAGAACAGAAACACCAATGACATAACTGTAGGTAGTTACAGATTAATGTACACCTTAATTAATGGGCTTTTAGATGATACCTGGATAATGCCTTTTACTCTCCAAACTCCATGCTTTAAAACGACAATTTGAGGATCATGTGGGTGCAAATCTTTCAGCTCATGCCTAACCTCCTCGAGATTTGCATTGTGTTCAGTGGATAACTGGATTGCAGCAACTTCGCCAGTGTTGCCCACTTTCTTTCCCAACACACAACGGGAATCTCCCAGGTTTGCCACAAATAGGGTCCCCTGACATATAACTCCAACCAGACAGCATGACCCAACAGTTGCTACTTGGGGTTTATTACCCCACAGCTCCGAAACGAGGGCGGTAAACCCTTCCTCTGTTCGGAGAAAAGCATTTTGAATGGTCTCCGCTGTCACAACACCTTCAGACTCTGCTGATATTGCTGCATAAACACAATGCCTAAGATAGCCAACATAAGAGCTGCTCATTCTTCAATAGTTAAACAGGAAAACCAACCCCAAAACCACCCAACTATAGTAAAATAAAAACGATAGGAAACGAAAATCGTGCATTACAACGAAGAACCCGGCCAGCGTCCCACTATTTTTAACTCGAAGCACGATTAGCAAATTATATGCACAGAGATGTATTCAATTTTCCGAGGTATCGTATGCAGAGATAATCCGTGATCCAAACTCAAAGACCAATCAAAATCACAACTTTAACAAAAAGCTCACAGCCTTAACAAACATCACGATTAACAATTCCAATCCACATATGTTAAATCACACATTCTACACCGAAACGTGGCGAATTCGAAACCACGCCATCCAAATCCAAAAAGCATATATATTAAGAGGGTTGGCGATCACGAACCTTGGAAATGTCTGAATAAATTGTCGCAAACGTATCGAGCGGTCTCCGGGCCGCCGTGTCCGTCGTATACGCCGACGAAGGTCCCAAAGGGTCCAGACTCGATCTGGCTCTGATCCTCGAGCACCTGATTGGCCTGGACCACCGCCATAGAGAAATCGCCCCACGCGTACTTTCCAAAATCTCGGAACCAAAGCAAGTTATCTTTGCCATCCCGTCCTCCTCCGCCGCTTCCGTTATTCGCAGCGCCGACGATTCCAACAGAGCTGAGTCCCTCACCGTCGCCGCGCCCAAATGGCCTCCAGCAAAGAGAGAGCAGATTCATCAATGCCTGAAGCATCCCACATCTCTCAAAAACCCTAACCCCAAAACCCAAAGACCCTTAAGGACTCCGTATTTGGGGGAACAAGTTGGGAGAAGAAGCCTAGGCTTTAATGGAAATTGGGAGGGGAAGGTATAGGGGGAAGAAGATGCGCAGGATAAGGGGTAGGGCGTAGGTTAAGAGGGGAGGCGTAGGATGGAGAAAAGTAATGGGAGGGGGTTGTGTTCGGTGGTAGAGGAACAGGGAAGGACTCGTCCTCGGCTGTCTTGTGGGCAGAAGATGGTGTGGGGAAGCATTTTGTTGGGTGTCACCCTTCAATGTCTTTTTCATTCTTTTCTTCCACTATTTTTTAAATTAATGTTATATTGGTTTTTCCACTGAAAAATTAGGTAAATGTTTGTAAATGTTTTTTTTTAGAGAAATTTGGTAAATGTTTCTACTAAGTCTAAGAAGAAAACGTCATAAGTCAGTGACGGAGCTACAGAGGTGGCATTGAGTGCCCATTATAACAAGTAATATTTTGTAAGTGACCCTTAGAGCGTCTTTAAATAAGATATCAAAAAGTTCATATTAGTAATTACGGTAAAAAAAAAAAGATATCATTAGCGTTTTCCAACCGAAATGACAATTCCTATGTGACATGACATGAAATGGCAGCAGAGGAAATTATTGTCAAATTTGATAGCAATTTCAAATCTATTTTTAGTAATTAATAAATGTTTTTCATAATTCTATTCTTATCTTTTGTTTTAAAAATACTAATTACAACTATAAAAAGTAAATCATGTAATAGATAATAATTTAAATTTGACATCTCAGTTGAAGAACAAAATTTAATAAAAGATCAATGTGTCACATAAGCCTTCAACGTTGTATTACACCAAGCTTATTTTATCTCAATAGTTCTTAGCACAACAACTCGGTACTCTTATATCTTCTTCTTTCTCTCCTCTATACCTCTTCTTCTCGAACTTGAATTAAATCTCAATTAAACACACTACTTGAGCTAAATTTTATGATTTATCTTAGTGTGAACTTAGTCTCCTTTTGAACCTTGTAAGAACTAAGAAAGAACGTACAATATGCTACACTTTTATTTAAGGGGTATGTTAAAATAACTCTCCATCTTTGATAAATGATTTCCTGTGTTCTTCTTTGTTGTCTTAACTCTTAGTTTCTCTTAATTTGTCTTTTGATGTAATATGACGTTTCTAAAATATAAGAACACATCAGTAACAATACAAATGAAAGTATAATCAATTTTTAGGAGCTTATATTATGACCCATTATTACAAAATTCTGATTTTGCCACTATATTGATTAAATAAAAAATAAAAATTTGAATTGAACTTTTTTTTTTTTTTTTTTTTTTGCCTCAATTTTGGTTAAGGTGTGTTAAGGCTTGAGCTAAAAAAAAGTCATTCATTCATTCATTCATTTGAGACATGTTATACAAAGATAAAGTACAATTACGCATGTGATACTACTCAAACTATTAGAAGCACAAAATTTCATAAAGTTCTAATTCAAATGGTTCTAAATATCGCTGAAATGGTGTCATGCTTGCATAGTGACATTATTTTTGCCTAAAAATCATAAATTGAGTAATTCTACTATTTGAGTTACAAGCTCTTACAAAATACATTCTAGTCATTTACGTTTGGTTTCATTTTCACATATTGGCCAACTTCTTTATATTTGTTGCTTTCTTTTTTAACGAAAGTATTTTGTTACCTTACACTTATTTTTTGTCCTCTCCTCTAAACTTTTGAGAATGTGGATTATTCCTAAGAGGCAAAAGTGTGTGTATTTTTCTTTGGAAGAGTATGTACCTATGCGATTTATGTACAACTTAAGTTCAATTTGTTTTTTCCCACAATGTTACGCCCAACCATAATGATATTCCACACAATACCAATAACATATTAGGACCGAACATTTGTTATGTAATCAGGCTAGTCCTATGTAAAAAAACGAAGAAATACTACACTAACAACTCGGGAGCTTGTCTTACACATTTTGCAAGTGGAAGAGTGTTTCCTGTAGGAATGTTCATCAATTTCTTTCGCTTTCTGTCTAACTGTGGCTGAATAGGAGGAGACATGATAACCAATTGTAAGCTCCACCATGCATAATGCTCCAAAACCACCGTGCTATGTCCAAATTTCTCAACATTGCAAGTTGCAACAAAACACTGCATAGCGATGCGAAAACTGGGTCCGATTCGATAACGGTTAGGGTAGCAAAGTGTCAATCAGAAGCAAAATCTACATGGCTGATATGGTTCGAGGTTTCATACTGAATCCGTTGTGGCCGGACATATGTCTTTCGAGTGGCTCGGTATGTTTGTTGCTGGTCTGGTCAGTGGTAACCATGGGAGCCCCTACCTTCTAGCATGCATGTTAAGATATTACCAAATAATGAGACATTAGCTAGCCCCGCTTTCAACACTTGCAGAAGATTGTGTACCTGTAATTAATGTACTTGTGTCCACCTAAAAAATTATAGAACTTATGTGGCATGCAGGCCGAGCAACTATTGAGCTAACTGCATCATTCTTGTAAATGTGGGTGTGCCAACTCGCAACTGGGCTCGTTCGGATGAGTAGAATAGATATGGTGTGGGTGTCGAATACGCTGTTCACTTCTACACTTGAGCGACTGTGATTGAGGAAAGAAGACGTCTCGGCCTTGGGTTCTAGAACCTGAAGAAAAGGTTGCTTAATTCATTGTGAAGTTTAGGATCTTGTGCACCTGATTCGATTGCATCGACTGTATTCATGAGAATATAGGTGCGTCTAATTGGTTTCAGGCTGTAGTGGCAAAGGTATTCAAAGGAGATGAGTGTCTTTATGATGAATGTGGTTCGATCGTCTGAATACTAAACTATGAAGTGCAGATTAGAGTAACCAATCATAGAACACTTAATGAAGTGACCTCTTTAGGTGAAAGAATTAAGAACTCTTGGATGGTTGAGACTTGAATAGATAACCAATTGACCAGAAACAATGTTGTTTACTTGATTTTCTCATAAGCGTTCCGTAGAACGAAAATTTTCGCATAGAGCATTTTGAGTTGTTTGCTAAGTTGAACCGGCTTTTCGTGTTGAAAAACCTCTTCTATTTATAGGGGTGGGACTCGTGATAAACAGATTTGCCAAGATAGAGTCCTGATATAACTTTGCATATTCGACATTTACCTGAATATTCCCTCATTATCCCTTCTTTAGCCGAAACCCAATCTCTTTATGCACTTGATTCGTCCTCATTTGATCAAGCATGAATTCTGATTCTTAGAATAATTCGCATCTTATCAAAACTCATCATGATCATTGACAATTTTAACTCACTTAAGACTCGACCGAGCCACACTTGAGCTTGATCCTTTCACAATCCTACCGCTATAGGGACTTGATCGGATAGCTTTTTAGGAGGATCAAAAAAGCCCACTGGCCTGCGAATTATGGCCTTCCAACTTGGGTTACTCATCCTCAACCCAAACCTTTATTTTAGACCCAAACAAATTGACCAACCAATTGACCCAATTATTTGTCACATCTTTTAGTAACACTAACATGTTATTGCACATCAAGCATCTAGGCCGAAGCTTCGTTGACCTATGATCCTGCAATGAAAAATCGTACAAGGCAAGAATGTTGATAAAGAAATCATATGATCTAAAACAATTATATAAATCTACACATGTTTTTCCTGGGTTTAAGCCTATCGAGGTGCTGCATAATTCGGTCCGCTGAATGTTATATATCAAATGTTGATGATCACTTCTGATTTGATATGTTCCATTTCTTTTTTCCTACACAAATTTGCACGATCATAGATCAAATATTTGTTTGAGGAAAACAATTTAGCTACATAATTCGGTCCGCTAAATGTTATATATCAAATGCAGGATCATAGATCAAATATCTAGCTGTCTAAAATACGAGCACGGAAGCAAGAACAATTTCACTATTTAAAAAGGGAATTGTTATTGATACTTCAAAAATCTCATTCTAACTCCAAACTTTCTATATTTAGAAAGAAAAGTACACAGGAATGTAAAAAGAGATTTTTGAAGTGCCAATAATATTTCCCTTTAAAAAACAAATTATACACTAGCTTTTAATTGTAATAAAAAAATAGTCAGAGAATAAAATGGTCAATTTTTGAAACACAAACATATGCTAGGATTGTTTAATAGGAAAACTAATGAAAAGAATTTGAAAATTTTGAGTTTTAACGATAATGAAAAAATAAAAGGTAAAGTGAATAGTACCAGGATTGACTTTTTAGTGTAAAAATATGATTTTTCGTTTAAGTAAACAGTACCGAAAGCTTTACTAATCAGATCTTAAGATTCCTACTTTTTTTAGTGCATTGGACGACAGAGCTGAGTAGTTTTTTATTTTTTATTTTTAAAGTATTAAATTTATCATAATTTTGATCATATTTTTTAAATTAATATTTATACCGTCTTTATAATAGAGATATTATCCACGTCTATTGGTAGGCCATATAAATATTAGAAAACTGATACAAGTATGATAAGTGTATGCCCCACCACTATCAGCTACCATCACCACCGCAATCGAGAATTTTCTAGACACCCACATCGATAAGCAATAAAATGGGGGTTACTGGTTAGGGTTGAGATTCATTTAAAACCCACGAGCAAATTCTGGGTTTCAGAATATACAAATTAAAGAACATCAAAGTTTATTACCACAAGTAGATTTTGGGCCACTCACAACATTCCTTCTATATCACAACACAGAGATCGGGGTGTTTCATGGGTTTTGGTTGCTGGGTAGTATTTGGGGGGCATATAGACAGAGATTTGGAAAGGGATGTGGCGGTGGGTTTGGGTATCAGTGGAGGAGGAGATTGAGAGGTGGTGGTAGCTGATGGGTTGCGAGTTGCAAGTGACTGGAAGTGAGTCGTGGAGGAGTTGCCGGCGGTGGAGTTGGGTGGTTAGGACGTGGGGGAAGAAGAGAGGGGGGAGGAAGATGCGAAGTTGTTCAGGCTAGAAGTTGATTTTTAGAAAACTGTAATG